ATCATTCAATCATATTACAGAAGATTGGTTGAACGTCGCAAGTTTATTAATTTGACGGACATAATTTCTTTCTTACAAAGATCTATCAAAGCATGGTTAATTAGGAGGCGGAAATCAGCTTGCACAGAACCAGATACTGCTCACGCTTTTCAATGCGGTATGGTGTTTTGTACTTACTTAGTTTGCTTCTGAATATGTAGTTAAAATGGTCGTATAATAAAACTCACCATGACAAAAGTTGCTGTATTGATGATACAGAAAGGCCAAAACAGCTCGAAGTTATTGAGAGATATAGCACACTCACAGTGTACAGATGTGGCCTCTCGACTTTACAGAGATCAGCAATATGTATTCAACGAGCAACAAGGAATTGGATGATTAGAAAAAAACAAATTAGCAGTGAAGTAGCTCATCTAAATATCGACAGATGTGACCGTGCAGTAACTCATCTAAATATAGCATCAATCACAGATGGAGATATAGACATTCGTGATCAAATAAAAGAAGCATCTGAATTACAAATAGTTGCTGAGTGTCCTATATTGAACAAGGATGTAGTGGTAAGCGAAGCGTTCTGCAAACACCTTGCTGCCACTCAAATTCAAAGTTATTTTCGTGGTTGGTTGTTGAGAAAGCAGTTTCTGAGTCTAAGGAGGGCCACAATAGTAATTCAAAAAAATATTCGTATGTTAAGAAGTTGGAAAGAATATAAACATTACAAAAATGGAGTGACATCTGCCATTGTAATTCAATCTTCGGTTCGTGGATGGATTGCCAGGAGAGAAGGTCATAGGCATAGGCGTCTCGTTATTCAAGTTCAAGTAAGTCTTATTGGGACTTATGATTTTACTATCTCGTCATGATATACTTGATCCCTTTATTTCATTTCTTGAAAGTTCTATATATGTTTTAACACATGTTTTATTTGTTCTAATGCTAATATTTGACATAATTAAATGATGTGAATTGTTTGATTGATATAGAGTTTTTGGCGTCGTTGGCTGGCACGAAAGAATTTTTTGCTGCAGAGACAGTCCATCATAAAGATCCAGACTGCTACGCGTTGCATGATTACTCGGATAGCATTTCGTAGGCATAGACATGCAGCTATAGAAATTCAACGACACTTAAGGGGACAAATTGCTCGAATGAAGCTATTAGGTATAGTGTCTACACGTTTAATGATAGTCTTATGTTTTTGTTTTAGTTCCATTTCTCATACCCCTTTACTGTTTAGGTGCGGCTTCTGAGCTTCGTTCAGCGTCTAACAATGGCAATTTATCCAGAGGCAGCTGCAAGATGTTTGAGTTGAAGTTAGTTTTAAGTTCAATTCTTAAACTGCAACGTTGGTGGAAGGGAGTTTTATTGCTTAGATCAAGATCAAGGTCCGCAATAGTCATCCAGTCTCATGTCCGAGGGTGGATATCTAGACGAAGGGCTGCTACAGAAAGACATCGTATTGTCTTGATCCAAGTAAGTGTTATAGTTTTATATTGTTTAACGTTATATCAGTTACATGCTGTCAAAAGAATTCACACGGTAGTGGAGAAGTCCAAGAGGTTGCTAGGTCTGTCTTGACTCCTAACATTGTGACGCCATGTCGGTTTAATATAGCGAAGTAGATATTGCATTCTGTACTCTTCAAAGAACCATATTGCATTCTATGGGGGGCGGTGTTACTACCGCATAGGCGAAGTGTTGGGCTATCATAGCGTTTTTAACTGTCATATTACTTTCTCAATAATGTCACCACAAAAGTGTCCAACTCTGGAACCCAAAAGCTACACATTAGGTAGCTCAAATTTTAGAAATGAACTGTAACTTTTAAATTTTTATCTTCCCTGGAATTTGATAGGCACACTGGAAAGGTCACCTAGCAAGAAAAGGATCAAGAGGGCAGTTACGAGACCTGTGCTTAAGAGTGCAAAACTCTGCTGCAAATGTGGATGATGGCAAGCGTATTATAAACAGATTAGTTGTAGCACTTACAGAATTGCTGAGCATGAGAAGCGTTAGAGGCATTCTTCACACCTGTGCAACTTTAGGTATGTAATATGTCGATGATAATTTTATCCCATATGCATGTTGCCGCTATCCTTGCTCATATTGAATACGGTTAATATAGTTTCTATTTCTGCTTCAAGTGTAGTATGGAGCATGAACTACAAATTATATATTCAAGGATTTAAAAACGTGGACTACAAAATTTATGTTCCAGGAGTTAAATTTGGCAGTTAATGGATGAAGTATGGGGTTCTTTTGTCAGCATGCTATTAAATTAAAACAACTACACCAAATTAAGATGTCCTAGTAATTTACACGTTCATTTTTTTCCTGAATTTTTCTTAAATCATTTGTCATTTGACTGAAAAGCAATATTTGGTGGACGAATCTGCTTTATAGATATGGCGACGGGGCATTCTCAAAAATGCTGCGAAACCCTTGTTGCTGCTGGAGCTATTAGTACTTTGCTGAAGCTCATTCGGTCAGTCAGCCGAAGCATACCTGATCAGGAAGTCCTGAAGCACGCGCTCTCTACTTTAAGAAATTTATCACGCTATCCCCATCTTATTGAAGTGCTAATTGACACTCATGGATCCGTAGAAATACTTCTCTGGGAGCTGCTAAGGTTTATTAAGATAATTTTGGAACATTACGATACTTCTAATTTATTTCTTTTCATTATAACTAAGGGCTATCTGTCAATAACTTGTATTCAGGAATAAGGAGGATGGCTTCTTTATAGCCTCGGAAGTTCTGAAGAGGATCTGCAGAAATGAAAAAGGCATTGAAGCAGTGCGCAAGTCAAGTGCCCTTTTAAAGAGACTAAACAGTCTTGCTGAGGAACTTGCGAGAAAGGCAAGCAATGAGAAGAGGTAAGATTCTAACTCAAGGAATTCAGCTTCGAGAAAGGCAAACAATGTCAATAGAATCACACTATTTTTCATGCAGAAATGCTCGGGGTCTTGATGGGAGAGAAAGCATAGAGAGACGATTGAAAGAAGCTGTTGAACTTCTAAAGTTGATAACAAATGGTAACGCTCAGCCACGCTACCATTAAATCTGTTTGCTAGGCCTAACCTTAACATGGAGAAATGTTTTTAGACTATGTCCATAGAACTAAGAGATGTAGATTTATTAGAGCATAGTGTACAGATTACCACTGCTAACAAGATTAGGCTCTTGACAAACCTGAACGCCTGTGGCTGTGGCCTGTGGGTGGGAAATCTGTACTTGGTGTGCGTGATTTATGCACAATCCAACGCCTAGACGTTGTTGAGATATTTAGCATTTTGAATATTGTGAAAAGGCTGCAAGCATCTTTTTGCAGTCCAACTACAATTTACTGTGTGATAGAACGGTTCTTGCTTACTTTTATGTTGATTTCTTGGCGCTGATGTGATTGGTTGCATGTCCAGCTACACTTATGAGAAGCCACCTGCTCTTGATCTGGCTTTTTGTGAATGGTGAATTGGCCTTTGGGACTCCAAAATATCAAACTTCAATTTTGGTGCCTTCTGAAGCCCAAAAGGGCATTGATTCTCTTGTTAAAGTAATCAGTTTCCTTGAGACAAAGGCAAGTCGATAAAATTTTTAATTACAAGGTTGGCCTTCCCACTCTGATAGTGTCGTGTAAATTTTACCATAATAGCCTTGAGCATTTAAAATCAAAATTATATATATTTAAAAAGATTTAAGACTTATATTTTGTTCTATGTTTTTAAAATTAAGGTAGACATTTTTTTAAAAAAATCAAGTTAAGTTTGAATGATAAAAAACCTTTTGAAAAAACTTAAATTTTATTTTTAAAATTGTACTTAAATTCAATTTGTTTAGGAAAAAAGGTGAAAATTTTATCACAAATTAAGAGTAAAACCAAATATTAATGTTATTAAACACTCCTAATTGTTTTTAGTAATTTACTAGGTGAATTCTGAGATTCTGAGATTCTGAGCATATAGAGCGCGTGGCTTCTAACTACGTCGTTTTTGCCTTCGGCGCGAAAGTATTAACTTATTAGAATTATAAATTTAATAAAAAATTCACGCTTAACTCCATAGCCGTCTTAGCTCAGTGGTAGAGCAAGTGGTTTTTAACCACGTCTGTGGGTTATGAATTAATCACCGTTTGTGGGTTATATCCCCACACACGGCGATTAATTCATAATTTTCTCATATGAAATGTTAGCAAAGACGCTAATCCTTTATGAATTTGAAGAAATTTAATATCTTTCACGGTGGTAGAGCGCATGACTTAAAATCCACAACCACGAATACCTTTGTGACTTCAAAGAAATTTAGTATATTTCATGCCACAGTTCAGAGCCATCTTAGCTCAGTGGTAGAGCGCGTGGCTTTTAACCACGTGGTCGTGGGTTCGATCCCCACAGATGGCGAATACGTTCGTAATTTTCCCACTTGATTAATCAAAGATCTTTTGCAAGAGGGTTGGCTTATGGATTAATCCTATCCCTAGCAGGCAAGGTCGGGTGGAGGATTGCAGAAACCAAGGCAATGCAAGAGGGTTGGCTTATGGATTAATCCTATCCCTAGCAGGCAAGGTCGGGTGGAGGATTGCAGAAACCAAGGCAAGGTCGGATAGAGACACTTAAATAGTTGCATCCCTCCCAAATAGGAATTTGCCAGGTTGTAACTTCAAAGAAATTTAGTATCTTTAAGTTTAGAGCCGTCTTAGTTAAGTGGCAGAGCGCGTGGCAACCATGTGTAAATATGTTCGTAATTTTCCTTTATGATTCCGAGGTGACTTTTCGTAATTTTTCTTTATGATTCCGAGGTGACTTTTCGTAATTTTCCTATATGACTCCGAGGTGACTTTTCGTAATTTTTCTATATGACTCCGAGGTGCCTTTTAACCATGTGGTCGTGAGTTTAATCCCCACAGAGTTTCATCACTTCAATGTCATTTTATAAATTTAGTATCTTTCACGCCAAAGTTTAGAACCATCTTTGTTCACATGGTTGTGGTTCCGATCCCCACAGGAATCTATTTCATTGGGATCAATAGCTCCTCCAATCACAGATTCTAAATTTAACAATATGTCAATATCGAAACGTATTTTTTTCCTGCTCGTGAGAAATTAATCGAACTTCCAACGAAAGGAAAAGAGAAGGCAGAACCAGCAAACTTGGAATCGAAATCGTCGATCGGTCGAGTTTCGAATCCCGATCAAATCAAGCAGCCCTAGCAAGAAGTTGGAGTTGATCAGGAGAATCGGTCTGGTGAATGACAGAGCGTGTCCTGAAAGACCTAGGCACCGTAATCTCCAAAACTCCATTCTCAAATCCAGCCGAAATCGCATCTACATCGACCAAAACCGGAAGCCGAAACTTCCTCGAGAAGCTCTTCGCAGGCACCGTAACTCCATCCACAGCCTGCGTTCGAATAATTAGGTATCGCGAATCTTCCACCTCCACTTTTATCTCCTCCTTCCGAACACCTACGCATCAAATTTACAAATCAAAAAACGATTCAGAAATTCAAATAACGGCACGAGAAACCTACAGCAAGAAAGGAATCGGACAAATCGGAGGAAGTACCAGGCAGATCGGCCGAGAAAACGTGAGACTCGGAGGTTTGAGCCCAGTGCACGTAGTTCTGAGGAACGGCGTAATGGTAGTAAGGAAAGAGGAGACGAGGAGGAAGTGAGTTGTGCAGGGAAGCATGAGAGGTTGAAATCTCCATTGTTGATAGCTTTGGGAAGGAAGATTTCTGTTTCGCGGGCTTTCGTCGGGCCCAGTGAGACCAGAAGTGGATAGGGTCTTAACGACGCTCGTCTTAGCCTTAAATAGAAGAATTGGATATTTTGGCAAGTTGCAGGCTTGCAGCAGACTTGAGGGCATTTTCGTCAAAGTGACATCAAGTTGCTCTTTATTCGTTTAAATCCTTTGGAGGGCGATTGGATTACATAGGTTGAAGTTAAGTAAAAAATAATAATAATCATACTAAATAAATAAATAAATATTACCATAACTATTAAATATTATAATATATAATTAATAATATTTATAAAAAACCTAAAAGTTCATTGTTTCCAAACCTGATCATGTGTGGTCGAAACCACTGGATATTGTATGAGCTCGGTGGTTGATTGGCCTAATTAAGAGAAGCAGCAGATGATGGCCTGTTGTTGGACAGATGTACATATGTATGGGGCCCACGCCCTTTCAGATAACGTGTCTCAATTTTTTCTTAGCGTTTGCTAATGAAATAAAATCTTAGTAAATCCCTTCCATTCCGTCTCTCTCTCTCTCTCGAGGCCTGGCTGCTTCCGACTTCTAGGGTTAGGGTTTCTCCGAGTCAAACGAGATCCCCAAACTCTCTCCGTATCTCACATTTAACAAATTCCGACATCTTTGATACGATGCAGCCTGCTCCTGGTGTTGCCCCTCACAACATGCCTCACCAGGCCCCTCAGTATCAGCAACAGCAAACTCCTTACATGATGATGCCCCCTCAGCCGCCTCAAACGCAGCCTGTCCCTCAGATGTGGCCTCAACAGCCGCAGACCGCCTCGCCACAGGGCCAACCGCCTCAGCCAGCTAGCGGCGATGAGGTCCGTACGCTCTGGATCGGAGACTTGCAATACTGGATGGACGAGAACGCTCTTTTTAATTGCTTTGCTCATACAGGCGAGGTACGTCTATGAATGCCACTCGAGTCGAGATCATGCGTGTATATGTACTTATTCTATCTTTTTTAGTGAATGATTTATGATGATTAGTTGGATTATATGAAGATTTGTGCGCATACATGTTATTACAATGTAAACTCGGTGGATAAGAAGCGGTTGGTGTTTTTTTATTTTTTATTTTTTTGCTTTTTTTGAATTAATGATGTCTATATCCCCAGATATCCTCCGTGAAAGTCATTCGGAACAAGCAAACTGGACAGTCCGAGGGTTACGGATTTATTGAGTTCTTAACACGCCCAGCTGCAGAAAGAGTACTTCAAACGTATAATGGCACCCCGATGCCCATCGGGGCACAAAATTTCAGATTGAACTGGGCATCAGCAGGGGAGAAGCGACAAGATGACTCTCCTGAATATACAATTTTTGTAGGGGATTTGGCTGGTGATGTTACTGATTACGTGCTTCAAGAGACATTCAGGGCTCGTTATACATCCGTAAAGGGTGCCAAGGTTGTGATCGACAGGCTCACTGGACGCACTAAAGGTTATGGGTTTGTGAAGTTCGGAGACGAGACTGAACAAATGAGGGCGATGACTGAGATGAATGGTGTTATCTGTTCATCTAGGCCTATGCGAATTGGACCTGCGGCTAACAAGAACACTTCTGGTACTCAGCAATATGCGAAAAGTAAATACCTCCTTTTCTCTAAAGGGGATTCATTTTAATGCAAAACAGTCCATCAAAATTTTTTTGGAGTATATTCCGCTTCATTAATTCGTTGCATGGATGTGATTGTGTTTAGAGTTCTGGTATTCATTTTGAATATGCCAGGATATAACGCGACCTTTTTGTTCTTTGTTTGGATTTTTCTCCTCTCCGTTACTCTTATTTTTAGTTTTCTAGCATTTTAATTCCACCCTCGTTATACCTTGGAAGAATAGTAGCCTTTCATGCCTTTTCCTTCGTCTACTTCCAATTCGAACTTTGGTCACTGTAACTACTGTAAAAAAAGATTCATTAACTTGTAAAACTCCTCTTTTCTTTAAGCAGGGTGTCAAAAGGCTCTGTTAGTTTGGAGTCCGCAACTGATTTCAGCTGACATGCTTACCCTTTAGTACGTTGTTCCAATTAGGTCAGTTTTTTTACCGCCAATGTCTTACCTCTTTCTTTTTAAGTGGCGTATTTTTGCTACGTTTTTCTAATTTCCCTTTAGTTTTGCAAAGTTTAGTTTTTCCTTTCATTTGCATGGGTTTTTTTCCCCTGCCATTTTGCAATGTCTAATTCCGTCAGATTTTTTTTTTTTTTTTAAAGTTTAGGCCACTTAGGTTCTTTAGCTAGATTTATTGAAATTTCCAACAACTGGGAGTCTGGGATAGCAGACTAGTTTGATTCTGAGCTTTCTTTCTACAGCAATTGCATAGGCCACAAAGGTGTGGTTGTCCTTCACATCCTATTATTTAGGGCTTATGGGATTTACGTTCCTATATTTTATTCTCAGTACTTGATGGTTGGATCCCTTTTCTGTAGACGAATCCTCTACCTTCAAAAGAATTTGATACATTTCTTGATCTGCATGGATTCTCATTTCATACTAGTTTTTCGTTCTGTAGCTCAATATTTCATAAATCCATTCCTCTTGAACATTGTATTCTTCTATTAACGTTCTGGATTGTTGTACTTGATAGTTGGATACCATTTCTTTAGACAAATCAACTACCTTCAAAAGAATTTGATACATTTCTTGATCTGCATGGGTTTCATTTGTTGTTAGTTTTTCGTTCTGCAGCTCGATATTTCATAAAGCCATTCCTCTTGAACATTGTATTCTTCTTTTAATGTGTTGGATTTATTTACATTCAGGTTTATGTCGTATATACATCTTTTGTAAATAAGATTTATTTATATTGGTTTTTCTGATTTAAAGATTGGCTACATTCACCTCTTCTAGTTTTTCTCTCAAGGTTCACACCGTTTCTTGGTTTGAATCATTTTATGTGATTGATTGGCCAAATTTAGTGTGCAAGAATTCCAATATGGCGTAGTATGGTTGCCTTGCGTCTTAAGTCAGGGAGGCTATTTGTGATATTTAGTTCATTAGGATGGGATGCCTTATAGTTTCCCTTTCTTTATGAATAACTATTGTGTATTATTATATGGTTTTTTTTCTTGTCCGATATGGGTAAGATATGAATAACTTATTCACCTATTTTGCGTTCATTATATTTGGCACAATGTGTTGTATTCTTAATATTCTGGTCTTCATGTGAATGTTCTCAATTGGTATGAGCTGAAAGCTTTGTAGTTCTTCAAAGCTTATGCCTAGGAGGCTTACACCCTTTTGGATAGGGGTATGCGCCTTTTGTGCTTCTGTATCTGAGGTGCAAAACACTCAAGTCTCAGTGAAAGACAGGAAGTAAGACAAGAATTAATTACGGTAAATTTTAAGAGTTGAGATTTTGGCATTCGTGGGTTCTGTTTGGTGTTCTAATTCTTTGGTTTGCTAGTCATTTGTGTTCATTTTGTTTTAGTCTTTGCATGTGTCTTGGTTTTTTTTTTTTTTTTTTTTTTTTTTTTTTTTTTTTTTT